AATAAATAATTTAGCTTTTTCATTAAACCAATTTTTAATTTATTTATTTTTCATATTATCAATTTCCCAATTTCTCTTTTTCATTTATCTATTTGTCATTTATCCCTTTATCCATTTACCCATTTTTCATTAATCTAATTTTTATTTAACCACTTTTCATTTTTTGATTTATTTTACTCATTTTTTATTTATTTCACCCATTTATTTATTTATTTATTTAATTTTGGCTGAAATGGCTCTCCATAGGTTTAAAGCCTTGCAGGATAAAGCCCACTGATCTCATTAAGACAGAAAAAAGTAAGGAAAAAATAAAACGGTCAGTTCAGGTGTTTTATAAAATATGGGAAACAGGAAATTTTCTATATACCAAAGTGAAAGATTGTTGTTCTCTACTTAAAAAAGCAATTTAGATTTTTAAATGGAAAAATTTTCTTTTTTATATATTTTTTTTATTTATTTAAAAATTCAATGTATAATGTGGATGCATAAACACCTAATTTTATTTCAGTGTTAAATTCTGTTTAAAGTAACAGATTATTAAAAATGTCTCCGGACCTTTACTGGTTAATGATTTTCTTTATTCGGACCCACTGATTTTTAATTGGTTACCCCTGGTTTAATGTTTATAAATATTTATTTCACATCATATGCGCCATCCAAAGCAGATCATTGGCTCCATCCACATCTAGTGAAAACTAGTGTAATTGGATGAGTCATATAACGCAAACACTCACTGGTTAGCTAAAGAAAATAATCAGAAGCAAGCAGGTGTTCTTCAAACTGCTAACGTGAATTGTCTATGCCATGCTACAATGTAGGATTCAGAAAAAGATGTTGAAATGTCTGAAAGGTCGGACACAGGCGAGAGCGTATCGGGAGATGGAGACCAACAAGCCCTCCCTCATCCTTGGTCCTATCTCAAAGAATTTTTTCAAATAATCGTAAAATTGAACTTTCAATTCATATAATGGCATCCGGCTGTTTTTTTAAAGGTTACTTTCTTCTTTTATACTTTAAGTAGTTTTTGGAGCACATACTTTTTCACTTTTACTTGAGTAAAGAGACCAAGTTAATAATTCAACTTTTACCAGAGTGTTTTTAAATTGCAGTATCTATACTTCTACTTAAATAACAAATGTGTGTTCTTCTGACACCACTGTTTAAATTAAAATAGCATCCCGTTAAATTAGCATCGGCTTCATAGAAAAAAATATAATCATTCTGTTTTTATTTTTTACACTACCTTGTCTTTCAGTTGGTCAAATAACAAATTGATTCTATAAGTTAATGCTGATCCATTTGCCTAAATTATTCAATTAAAATATTATTATTTGCATCTTTATATTAATTCCCACATTAACAAATTGTGATGGAGTGTCCCCATTGAAATGTTGTAATAGAAGATTTATAAACCTGTAAATTAGTTTAATATTTGTTATATAATAACTATCATTCATGTAATTTAAAATGACATGTTTGTTTTTTTAGGACCAAATGAAATCAATATTTTCCTGCTGGGAAAAACTGGTATTGGGAAGAGCAGCCTGGGAAATACCATCCTGGGAGACAGTCTGTTTAAAGAAAAATCATCTCCTACATCTGAAACAGATTTGGGCCAAGCAGAAAGAAAATACATCAATGGGGTACCTATCAAAGTGATCGACACTCCTGGCTTCTTTGGCAACAACATGGATGACGAAACACTAAAGCGTGAGATAATACACAGTGTCAAACTGTGTGCACCCAAGATTGATGCCTTTCTTATTGTGCTGAGAGTGGATCGATACGCAGCCCAGGAGAAGGAAATCATCAAGCAAATAGAGCAGTGTTTCTCAGAGGAGGCTCTGAAACACGCTGTGGTTGTGTTTACGCATGGAGACCAACTGGAAGATGGGGTGACAATTGAGGATTTTTTTAAAAGGGATTCTGATCTGAAAGAGCTAGTAGAGAGGTGTGGTGGCAGATGCCACGTTGTTGATAACAAATACTGGAAAGAAAAGCAGGAAGGTTACAGGAGTAACAAGTTTCAGGTGGAGCAGCTTTTCAACACAATAACAACAATGACAGTCAGTCAGGGCTCCTACACCAATATGCTTCTTGAGTTAGTGGGGGAAGAAAAGAAAAAGGGGGGCCGGGGGGAAATTTTGATTATCTCAGCTGGAGTCACAGTGGGAGCACTGCTGGGAGCACTTTTAGGTGCTGTTGTGCTTAAACCAGTTATACCCTCTGAATTTGCTTCAGCAGCAGTAGGAGCAGTGGGTGGAGCAGCATTTGGAGGTATAACAGGAGGAGCTGTAGCTTCCACAAGTGCAACATCAAAGGATGCTGTGCTGGAAATAACTGAGCAAATGATTAAGATAGGAGGTAATTTACTAAGATTTCAATTGGAGGAAGAGGAAATAAAAAAAAAAAGTTGAATGTTGTTGTGCAAAATAATGTTGTCAAATAAAAGACACTTACAACTGTGATCTAGAGTCAAGATCCAGAGTACTGTAAATATTTTATCATTTTTATGTTTTAGTCATATTTCTTCAGAAGAGCTATAGCTGCAGATGAAGAACAAACTTTAAACCAAACAAACCTTTAGAGAAATACAGTAATATCAATGTGTAATTCTCATTTTAATTCTTTTTGAGGTGTTTGAATTTTTGCATGAGTTTGATACCATGAGGCTGTTTGTCCAAGTTATTAATTAGCAGTGGAGAAGAGTGTTTTCAGAACATGATGTTAATTAAATCTTAAATGTCTTATCTCTGATGTGATGTGGGGTAAATAAAATTATTGAGCTTTTTTCTGTTTGCTTAAACTGACTAGTTTTAAGACCCTCGCAGCTTTTGCATAAGTTCACGATAGATAGAAAGTTTTGTCTGAGTCAGAACAGGACTGAGCACTTGAGCTGTGGCTGTTATGATTTTCTTGCTCTTGTCTTTGCAAATACCAAATAAAGTGCAGACTAAATGATTACCACTGTTCTCCCTTTATTCAACCGATGTAGCATAGGTGAATAATGTTTTACTACAACAGGGTGCCGAAGTCTTAGATACACTTTAATAATAGATTACTGTAACAATGTATCACTGGACTTTTATGTAGTTTATAATTTTCATCAAAATAAAATGGAAAATCCTTTTTAACTACATTTTTTATGTTCATCTTAGCCCAACTGATCGTCTGATATCATGTTACACAACACAAAGAGAAAAAATAGTTTCCTGTTAAACAGTCATAAATAAACGCATACCGTTTCCACTGTACTTGCAGATAGCTTTTCATTTTCATATTGCTATAATCCAGTGAATGGTCTAAAGATGTAATCTAGTGTATTCTATGTCCTATGTTGGGCCATAAACCATGATGAAGTTTTGGACATTGAGAACCAATGTCCATCTTTTATTTAACATGTTCACTGGAGAAGAGGAGGCAGCTTTGCTCATAAAACTGCTGAGAACTCTCTTGAAGAGGCTCACATTTGTTACAGTGGTTCGATTGAGCTGCAATATCATTGTTAAATAAATAGATGTGTGGCATATTCTAACACACTGAACAGGAAACAGGTGTTCCCTCATTTTTCCATTCTGGGCCCTGGTATCAAAAATGATCCTTTATGTTCTTCTAAAACACCGGTTCTGTGTGGATACACAGTTTGAATAACCCAATATTTTTGCAGTGACACCTAATCTTGTCTCCATGTAGAACGGACCTGAAAGAACAGGTCATTCGGATGGTCAATGTTAAGAGTTTATTTACACTGACCAGATAGATAGCGTGTTAATGCAATCCTCATATGCTCAAGTCTTCTCATCAGTTCAAACTTTAGCTCATATGTAGCTTTCACCTTCAGCCTTGTCTTAGCTATAGTTCCTTTTGGTGGGAAGACATACCCAGTCTCGGACTGGTAATCTGTGTTACCGGGCATTTGCCCGTTGGGCCGGTCCTAATTTCAGTGTGCGAGGGCCGGCCCTTGTTAAATCATACTGGTCCCATCAAAGTCATTTCCCTCTGGGATTATTAAAGTATCTGATTCTTATTTCCTCTCCCTCTCCAGCCGAAGCATCTGACAATAAGTAACCAATGAGTTAAAAAAGTAATACAATGTTAACTACCTAAATGATGCATGCAGTAGACATGTTCACAAGTCAT